GGGGGGACATGCATGCAAGTGGGGGAGGAGCAGATAGAGGGAGACCAAGGAACCCAAGCAGGCTCCACACTGACAGCAGAGAGGCAGCCCAGTGCAGGGCTCGAACTCACCCATATTTAAATGAAAAAATTTAAATGTACACAAAGTAGACAGAACGGATATTCATGTGCTCATTACCTAGAGTTAAGAGGTATCTGGATTTTGTCACATTTACTTCATCTACCTTTTTATTTTTCTCCGAAGTATTTGAAAGCAAGTTGAGCTCACCAGAGGTCATTTTTCCCTTACATAACTTCAATGCCACTATCACAGTTATCAAAATTAACAGCAGTTTGTTGGTGCCATCTAATAATACCAGTCAAAATTCAAATTTGTTCATTTGTCTGAAAAGTGTCAGTTTTGCAGTTGGTTTATTGGAATCATATTAAATGAACACCCATATTAAATGTAGTTGTTATGTCTCTTAAATTTCTTTAATATACAGATCCTCCTCTTCCAGTCGACTTATTGCAGGAACTGAATCAGTTGTCCTGCAAGATGTTCAACATTTTGGAGTTCTCTGTTTATTTCCTTGGGGTAATATCTAACTTTTCTTATATCTGTCATAGTTGCTATAAATGGAAGTCAGCTTTAGAAGCTTGATTAGATTTATTTTTAGCTTTTTTGGCAAGAATACTTCACAGGTGGTGCTGTGGCTTCACACTGCATCAAGTCTGGCCCCAATTTTAGTGACGTTAACTAAGATTGATCAGGGGATTCAGGAGGTAACAGCCTGAGCCCTACTTAAAAAGATCATCTCTTTATGTAGTGGTTTCTTTCATCTGTTGGTAATTAGTGTCTGAATTTATGTTGTTCAAGTCGCGAATGGGTGGTTTTCTAACTCTGTGTTCCTTTTACATTTGTTACCTGGAATCCTTCTATAAGGAACAATTCATCAATGCCAGTTGTTTGGTTTATCCCAGAGTATAGTATAGTTCAGACAGGAAAAGAAGGATGTGTATTAATTCTTTCAGGATAAAGACTTGGTGCCCCACTTATTTCCAATTTGGTATTTTTTGAAACCTCCTTTTGACCTCATTGGTTTTTGTAGATTCAATGTATTTCACGAATTTGCATGTCATCCTCGTGCGGGGGCCATGCTAATCTTCTTTGTATCATTTCGATTTTTGGTATATATGCTGCTTGAAGCAAGCACAGATTCAGTGTGTTTCACTTAGTTGCAGTTGATTTGGTTTTTGAGGTAGCCCTTTGCCTTTTCATAAGATTCCTGTGTTGTTTTGTTACGTTTTGTTTTGTTTGTTATGGCCCATTCATCTGAGAGCTTCCTTGCTTTCTGGTACAATAAGACATCCCAGGCTTATTTTCATTTACAATTTAGATTGAATTAAGAGTTAAATGTGTATGTGTTTTAAAAATTCTGTGCATATCTCCTACTATAGTTGGAAATTTCTTCATATAATGAGATAGAATTTTTTAGTAACAATATTTACTATAATTTAAAGTTTTTGCTGTATGTTAGCTGTATCATTTTTTCATTGCTTTCATTTTTAAAATTTAATTACATTACAATTTAAGTTATCTTCATTATTTTTGTATATGCATATTTTTGGCCATAGTAGTGGTCTAAAGCTTCTTCTACAGTGTTCACAGGTTCTCAGATATTTTGTTTATTTTTGCTCACACGACAAAATATGTGATAAGTAGTCTTAAATAATTTTTACTTATTTCAGTCAATTTATTGTAACCATTTTCATCTAACATTAGTAAAGGGGAAGAATCTTGGAAATTGGGACTAAGTTACTTGTAAATATTCTTTAAATAAGTCCTTTTTACTTCCTGTAGTTATGACAGCTAGTAAGTTAATAAGTAAATATATCTCTATGGTAAATACCCAGTAGTTAGGTTGTTTTGCTACTTGAGTATTTGAAACACTGTTTGGGTAAATAATTCTCCACAACCAAAAAAATAAAATACAATAAAAATTTCAAAACCACTTAAAAAAAAAAACAGTTTCAGTTTTGTTTCACTACATGTAATACAAAAACCTTAAATTGAGGTGTTAAACTGAATTTCTTCTCTTTTCTGCAAAATATTATCCTATTCTAATATTTCCTATCCTGGTTAAGTTAGTGGTTCTGATTGTTGCCCCCATTCTCCTCCAAAATAGTTATCCAAACACACCTCCTCACTTTCCCACCTCCCACGGTTTCTCCCTCTGTTCAGGCATCCACGGTTTCTTTTTCCAGACCTTGCAGCATCCTTCCAATTAGTTTTGCTTCCTTCAACTTCATCTTCCTTTAACTCATTCTTCATACTGATACCAGAAAGATTCTTAAGCAAAGGGATCTAATTATGTCAATGTCTTGCTTAAAACCTTTCAATTATTTTCTACTTCCCCGGTCACTTCCCCACTTCTTAGCATTCCACACAAGCCTGCCCTTTCCAGGCTTAGCTGTCCTCACATTTTGTCTCGGCCTCTGTAATTTTTTATATGCTAGCTTTTTTAGTAACTTATGTGCTGCCCTTAACACCTTCGTTCTCTGTGCACCGGTTCAAGTGTGTTTTACTTGATACTTCTGATAATCCTCACACACCATTCAGCAAGGGTCACTCTTTTTTTGGGGGGGGGGTTGTCACTGTGCCTTAAATATAACTCCATTTTAGCCTCATCACACTATGTTAATTAAGTCAGTTGCGTATATTGACTGTGTGAGCTGAACTCTTTGTGTCCTCTTTGTGTCCCCAGCAAATAAGAGCTTAGGAAAGGTGCGCCTGGGTAGCTCATCGGTTAAGCATGTGACTCTTGATTTCGACTGAGGTCATATCTCACCATTCAAGGGATCGAGCCCTGTGCTGGGCTCTGTGCCGACAGCCGACAGCGTGGGGCCTGCTTGGGATTCTGTCTCTCTGCTTCTGCATTCTCCCTCTCTTAAAATAAATAAACTTTAAAAAAAAAAAAGCTCACGAAATTAAAAAGATTGTTACATATATGGACCTAAAGGCTAATTAACAGACTCCAAGAAATGAGAAAATATTTTTAGTCAATTTTATTTCTAGAAAAGATTTAAGTTCTCTGATTTATTTTTATCTCCTTTAATTTTTTTAAAGGTTTTGCTTTGATTTTTAAATCTATGAATGAGGGAAAATGAGGACCTGAAACATCAGATGTTGGCTAAATAATCATTGTAACATTGCAAAGAAGTTTAAAAATGCAAATCTTTATTATTTGCTATGATAAAGGTTTTGAGGATACAAGTTTTATTTTATATTCTCCTGTTATATTTATAAATAAAAGTAGCAGATCTGGGCTCAAGATATGACAAAATACACTCTAGAAGCCTTTCTAATTCTTCAGAGAGCCATTAGCTAGAAAAGGCTATTAAAAATTCATCAGAATTCAACATAGTGTTTTCTGGCAGTTTACCCAAGGGGCTGCTGAGTACACTTAGAGAACTCAAGTCTCAAACAACCTAGGATTTGATACAGACCTGATCCTTGTTTTTTTCAGATTCCACAAAATCTGGCAATAAGAGCCAACAAAGTTGCTTCTGAATCTGTTGGAAACCACTAGAGACCAAACGAACCATCAAGAGAGATACAGGCAGTCCTTAAAGAAGGTTTAAAATTCAGTGTGGCATCTTTAGTTGAATATGATGATTATACCCTAAAAGAATTCTTGTCATGATCATGTGACATTCTTATTCACGACTATGATTAATTAATTCTTCAGTGAAGTTCTTGCATTTGCTTTATACTTAAGTTACCTAAAGTAATTTTCTAAGTATGTGAGGTTTTTGATATCAGTAAATAGAAGTATAAAATATAATATTTTTGAAAACTGTATAGAAGGGAAAACCCACATCTAATTTATAAACCCAATCCTAAGTGCTTATTATAACTACACACACACACACACACACACACACACACACACCCTTAATGAATATCAGCTGTAGATGACTTCTGAAGGCTGTCATAAGATTGGCAGTGTAACCTATTCTGTATGGTCTTGAATAATTTGGATCATTTGATCTATTAAATACCTTTCAGTACCACTTAAATGGAATAGAACACTTTAGCTGTAATACTATCTCATAGAAAAGAAGTGTTTTTTATTCTGTCTGTATAGGAAATGTAATACTACTTCTGTCTGCTCATTAAAGAAATCTCTTAATAGCATCTTCCTTAAAAGAATAAAGAGAAAAGTCTGTATTTCAGAAATTGGTGTTCTGCTTGTCTTGAAGTATTTACCATCGTCCATGCTTTTCAGCCAGAGATTTTGAAGTATTCTTTTTGTTTTTAAGGAAGTAAAATAATTTATTAGTCTCTTGTACGAAGGAACCTTTTGATCCTAATTTGACAGGTTTAATATATGATGAAGGTTAATATTCAGAAACTTAGAAGAACAGTTGGCATTATGCATTATTTCTGTTTAGGCCTAATTCTTTGTGTGATTTATTTACCCAATAGGTTTTATTTGGATATTAATAACCATCAATAAATAAAACTGTTTGAATTTAAATTTCTAAAATTTTATGCATCATGCTAGGTGTTAAACTTGGCCAGCATTTGGATTATATGTGCCTAAATTGTAAGCAGTATCAAGTTTGTTTGTCTAAAGCATAGCATTTTACCACTGTGGTTATATACAGTTCATATGATTCTACAAAATAAACATCTATTTTAGTTTTGTCTTTGTATGTTGAACGGTTTCTGCTTTAAGGGTTTATGCTCCTGAAATCATCTAGCCTTACCACTATCCCTTTTCAACCTTAATTCCAAGAATGAAATATTTTATCCCTCTCACCCCTGCAACACCAAGGCTTTGAGTGAGTATACTCTGAATGTCGGGGATTGAGAGTGAAATGCTAAGAGAATATGATTCTATAGATAGATGAAGAAGGCCCTGCCCAGTAGGATCATCGACATCAAGCAGACAAGGGAACATGTAATTTTAATTCATTATGACAAACTGGTAACAAAAATGTGGTATCTAGTACAAGCATTAGCAGAGTATAAGGCCCATATAAGCAGGAACTGTTTTTGGCTTAGCTCTATGTATCCAATACCAACAAAGTCTGATATTTATAATGGGGTCAGTAAGTCATTTAAATGAATGACATTAATTCTGCCTTAGAGAGAGGCAAGAAACAAGGAAGTCTTCCTAAATGAGACGAGATCTGGGTTTTGAAAGTCAAACAGGTAGATGAGAGCGTGAATGACAGGCATGGAGAACAGTGTGTGAAACTGCATGCCATGTTTTAGCAAACTACAAATGGTTTGAATTGCTGCTTCAGCTTAAAGTGTAAATTGAAGAGCAGCTGGAGAGGGACCTATATTAATGAAGAATTATGTTTCCATGGGTTTCTTTGAAAAACAAAGAACATTTTAAAAAAATAATCTGATTAATTTACACGTTCCTGAACACTTTCTAAAATGTGTTTCTGTGTACCTATACCTCAAAAGTCTTTGATATTTTAAAAAATTAATTAAAATGATTGCTGATTAAATATGTCCTTTTTCATTTTTTTCATTTTTTTATTTTTTAAGTAAGCTCCATGCCCATTGTGGGGCCTGAACGCACGACGCTGAGATCAAGAGTCACATGCTGTACTGCCTGAGCCAGCCAGGCGCCCCAGTATTTTCATTTTAATATTTATTATCTCTAGCATTTTAGCTATATGTTGGATTTTTAGTAAATTTGTAATTTATAAATTTTACTTTATTTGTAATTTTGAATGAGTAAAATGATTTTACCTTTTCAGATGATAGAGATTTATAGTGCTGCATTTGCATTTATTACATGACAATGTTTATTGAAGTGTGACCGCATACATCAAGCCATGTGTTCTCTGGAAGCCCGTTATGTGAATAGATACAGTTTGCGGGCATTCTCTCTGTGCTGATGGAGCTACTAGCACACTCCTCAGACTCCAGATTCGACAGTCAAGGGTTTAGTGGAAAGAACTATATGGCCCAGACACCAGGAGGCCCAGGTTCAGTATTTACAGCATTGCTAGTTAACTGCAGGATCATGGGCATCTCCTTTTTCTCATTTGCTAAATAGAGGCGCTGAGTTAAATGACTTCTCAAGTCCCTTTTATTTCTAAAATTCCTCGGTTTTATAAATCTATAGCTATAGTTTATATGATGCTGGAGCCTTGGACAGAAATGTAACCCCAATTATAGTTACATACTCCAGTACTACATCTTAGTGAAAACAGGGGCTTCTATATTGTCTTTTTCTAAAATATATTTCCATTTGTTAAACTGAGTTCTGTGTGTGACATATAATTTTTCTTTATTTTTTCAAGTGCTTTTTAAAAAAGATTTTATTTACTTTTAAGTAATGTCTACACTCAACTTGGGCTTGAACCTACAACCCAGAGATTGCATGCTCTACCAACTGAGCCAGCCAGGCACCCTGAGATATAGTTTTTCTTATTAAACTTTTATAGGAAGTTCCTTTTTCTTACTAAGTTATATTAGAGATTTTGGTAGGATAGATGGAGATAATCTAACAAGTGATTTGAAGTGTGTGTCTAAAACTCAGGAGGCAGGGGCGCCTGGGTGGCTCCGTGGGTTAAGCATCCGACTTCGGCTGAGGTCATGATCTCACTGCTCGTTCTGTGCTGACAGCTCTGGGAGCCTGCTTCAGATTCTGTCTCCGTCTCTCTGCACCTCCCTTGCTTGTGCTTGCTCTCGTGTGCACTCTCTCTCTCTCTCTTTCTCTCTCTAAAGTATAAAATAAAATATTTAAAAAAAAATTAAAACTCAGGAGAGAAGTCAGTACTAGGGGTAGATTTGAAGTTGTCTGCATTGGTTGTAGTTTAAAATGTGGAGGTAAAGATTACTTGGGGGAAAGAACAGAAGAAAAGAGCAGACAGAAAAGGCTAGAATCCACAGTTAAGAGGTGGAGGAAGCTAAGGAACTCCACAAGAAAATGGAAAAGGAGCAAAGAAATAAGAGAAGTAGGACAGGTTGTGTCACTGGTCAGAAAAGAGAATTAAAAAATGAAAAGACTTGGGGCACCTGGGTGGCTCGGTCGGTTAAACGTCTAACCCTTGATTTCAGCTCAGGTCATGATCTCACAGTTGTGAGATCAAGCCCCATGTCGGGCTCTACACTGACAGCACAGAGCCTGCTTGGGATTCTGTCTCTTTCTCCTCTCTCTCTGCCCCTTCCCCATGCCACCCACGCCCCATGCTCTCTCTCAAAATAAATAAACTTAAAAAAAAAATGAAAAGACTGGACTGAGAGTCCCTCAAGAAAAGCCCACTATGTGGTGTTAGGATTCACTGATAAATGAAGATAAGTTGGTTATGAAGCTAAAGGGTATCTGACAAGACAATTTAAGCCAAATGGGTGCATGCAATTCAATCAATAAGAATAAAATTTTGTAAGCAGAATCAGACCTGAACAAACTGATGGCTACCAGAGGGAAGGGGGCTCTGGGGATGGGCTAAATGGGTGAAGGGGAATGGGAGATACAGACTTCTGGTTGTGGAATGAATAATCATGGGATTATTAACAGAATAGTCCATGATATTGTGTTAGTATTGCATGATGACAGACAGTAACTACATTTGTGGTGAGCATAGCATAAGGTAGAGAGAAGTCGAGTCACTGTTGTTGACCTAAAACTGTTGAAAACTGTTGTAACGTTATGTGTCACCTGTACTCAAATAAATAAATAAATAAATAAATAAATAAATAAATAAATAAATAAATAAAACTTTTTAACAAATTCCATCTTAAAAACAAAAAGGTGGTTTAAATGTTGTTATGTGCTGAAGGGAAGTAAGTTTACAAGGTCCATTAGCTACACACATTAGGGTGTGATGGCATGGCAAATAGTAAGCCCAGAGCTGAGAAACACAAATTCTGGGGTTCTAAGTCCAAACGTTATCCGTTATTTTAACTGCACAACCATTCAGTCATCTAACAGGGTGAAGAGATTTATAAACAGATTAATCACAATCAGATTGGTAATTGCTATACTGAATATGACCGGAAATGATCGGGCAAGGGATTTAAGCCTTTTGCGGCTTAGTTTCTTCACCTATAAAATAATAATAAATTGCTTTAAACCTCATACTTGATGTAGCATTCCCCCCACAGTTCTGAATTGTGATTGCCTCTAAAATATTTTTCCTTAAAAAGTATTTTAAATTCATGTGTACAGATATATACATATCTATGTATTTTTAACACACGTTCCAGAAATTGATAATATAGTACACTGTATATAAAAATGTACCCCCACACTAAGGCTGTCATACCCTGTTCGATAATGAGGTGTAATAGGACAGATCATACTACATGCTCTTGGCCAGCGAGTATTGTGCACTTTTCTCCCAAGAGGGCTCTGCCCTTTGGAGAGTTGACTATATTTTAAAACCTATATTGTTTGTTTCCTGGAACTGATTTTTCTGCCATTTGTTAAAAGGAATAGTTGTGACCCATAGTGAGTGACAAAGGATGCACGTAAAGGCTAGCATGCTGGTAATTAAAATGTAAATTTTACAGAGGCCAGTGGCCTGATGGGCCTCCAACCAAATGGTTGAGGAAAATGAAGGTAAAGATGATTAGGCATTTATGAATGAGTGACTACCAAGTTATCTTCATAAAGCAGAGACAGTGACAGATTGTCAAAAGTGCCCATTTTGTGTCCTTTGGTATAGGGTGATTTTGTGTTCAACAAACATTTATCAAGTTTGTATTCTGTGCCCTGCACAGTGTTAGGTGCTAGTGTTACACTGGTGAATAAGAGAAATCCTTCTTGGATTTTATCATTTAGGAGGAAAGGTAGAGTTCAAACAAGGGCCAGAGACCCATGGGAGGTCAATTTTGCCCAAGCAGTATGTTGAGTAAATGTTCTGGTTCTGGATGAAAACCATAGCCTCTCCCTCCTTCTCTGCATTTTCATGTCTCAGGGTAACTGTGGTTTAAAGAAAAAAATATATTGAAATCTGCAGTTAGGTATCTGAACCTCCAGGAGCATGTTAATAAGCATGTATGGTATTGTGGCTGGGGAGAGATTGAGAACGAACTTCTGGGTCATCACATTTAAATCTGTACTTGCAATTCAGACCGTGTGCTTGAGTATAAACCTACATTTTAATTACTTTGCTTTTTGTTTATAGGTCCAGGGGCAAGTTCATCCTACTCTTGAGTCTAGTGATGATGCTCTTCAGTATGTTGAAGAATTAATTTTGCAGTTATTAAATATGCTGTGCCAAGCTCAGCCCCGAAGTGCTTCAGATGTAGAGGTATGATAAATTTTGCCTTGTATTTGCTTTATACACACACACACACACACACACACACACACACACACACACTGTGTACTTGTTGCAGTGTCAGTGAAAGTGTTCTGAAATGAACTTTTGTTGGCCTCAAAACACTGCCTTTATTTTGTTTTAAGTTTATTTATTTTGAGAGAGACAGAGACAGTGTGAGAAGGGGAGGGACAGAGAGAAAGGGCAAGAGGGAGAGAATCCCAAGCAGGCCCCTCATTGCCAGCGCAGAGCCCGATGCGGGGCTCGAACTCATGAACCTGTGAGATCATGACCTGAGCTGAAACCAAGAGTCGGATGCTTAACCAACTGAGCCACCCAGGCACCCCTGAACACTACTCCTTGATACTAGAATTTTACACACACACAAGCACACACACACACAGTTTTAAGAGTGGAATATGTTCAAATGTTTCTTTTGTTTTTAAAGCCCACTGTCATTTAAAAACATTTTGGGGCGCCTGGGTGGCTCAGTCGGTTAAGCGTCCGACTTCAGCTCAGGTCATGATCTCACAGTCTGTGAGTTCGAGCCCTGTGTCAGGCTCTGTGCTGACAGCTCAGAGCCTGGAGCCTGCTTTGGATTCTGTGTCTCCCTCTCTCACTGCCCCTCCCCTGCTCATGCTGTGTCTCTCTCTGTCTCAAAAATAAATAAAAACATTTAGTTATTAATCTGTTGGTCTTCAGTTGTTACATGTATTTTAGATAGTAAGTGAACTCCTTCCCACCAATTGGAAGGGAAAGAAACATGTAAAAACCTAGGAAGTTCTGCAGTCTACTACAGCAGTGACCTGGCCCCTGTCTTTTTTAGGGCTTAAAGTTTGGTGGAGATACAGGAATAATGGCAATAACAGGATGTGATCCACTGTGCATAAAAGTTTTGAGGGACACCATAAAAGGGACAAACTAATAACACAGGCCTTGGGGCTTAGGGATTAGCTTCCCAGAAGAGGCATCTGAAGAAGTCTAAAGTCTGAGAAGAAAAGAAAGAAGGTTTGAAGTTCTAACTGTAGAAAATGGGAGATAGAGCTGGAAATATAAAAGTTGTCTAACAACGATTAAGAACATTTGACTTTAATGACCTTGAATGTATACTAGTACAAATCTTTGAGTTTCTCTGACATTTCTTTTGCAGTACTCAAATGTGGGCACAAGAAAGATAGTTGGATTGAATGGAATTTCACCATAGACATACAGTAGAATAGTAGGACAAGGAAGTGGTGGAAATTGGTAATAACAGGGCTTTACAACCTTTCAAGACACAACACACATAGAATGTAACAAAGATTTTATCTCAAACGGTGGCTGGGTAGGAGGTATATCTGTCTACCCCAGGCCCTACCCTGTCCCCGGGGGATGAGGGATTGATAATATAGGCATATCTAATGAGAAACTTCTGAAAAGAGCATCAGAGAACCTAAACTGGATAGGAGAAAAAGTGACATATAATAATGGCTGATATTTAAGTGTTTGCTGTAATATTGTGTACTGTTCTAAATAGTTCCGTGCTTTATATTTTATTTAAAGTTTTTTAATAACCCCATGAAGATGGTGCTGTTTTCTTCTCTTACTAGAATGTAAGCTCCAAGGTTATTTTTCTTGTTTACTGCCAAATTCCTAGCATCTAGAACAATGTCTGGCACTGAGAACGCACTCAGGAAATAACATGTTGAATGAATAAATGTGGAAACTGAAGCACAGAGAGGTTAGATAAATTGCCCTTGCCCAAGGTCACAGCTAATAAGTAGCGAAGTCAAGACTGTAGCCCAGAAAGTCTAAGCTTTTTGGATGTACATTACAACTCAAGCATCCTGCCAGGAGAGGACAAGTAGATTGGAAAAACATGGAGGGAATTAGGGTATTGGATTTCCCAGTAAAGTTAAGAACTGATAACACTAGAATACCTGAGTGAGAGAATTAAAAGAATAGATTGGGATCAGAGACAAAGTTGTTGGAATTTAAGATTTCCTCAGTAACACAGTTACAAAGCGGGATGTGGCCATGTGATGGTGGCTGGGGTAGAGAGTCTCCAAGATGAGGTATTCAAAGAATTAAGAGGCCAGGGTATTTCATGTGTCCTTAAGGTAGACAGTAAGGTCACACAGGATCATGACAAGATTTTACATGATCCAGAAACAGCTTGGGGAATGGAAAAGATGCTAAATTTTCCTTCATGCAGGTTTTGGGACAAGGGCGGTTTTTGCTCTTGAAGTCTTCAGGGGAGTTCCAGATTTCAGCTGAGGCAAAGAGATATTTGAAAACATTGAACTACAGAGGTTGTAGATGTAGAAAAGATTGTATACAATGGAATAGTAATTCACTTTGATTTCTTAAGTAATTTAAAGAAGGTTTCATACATTTTTATCCCATTTTTCCATTGAATTATAAGGTCAACTATCTTTTATTCATGATTTCCTTTAGGCACTTAATTACATTGGTCTTCAGAGTAGATCTTGAAAAGAACTCGTTGCCTGACTCTTCTCATGAATAATTCCAGTTGCTCTTTTGGATCTTAGTTAGGTTCTCCCACAGTGTTTATAAAATACAGCATTCAGCCTTGTGCCTAGTGTGTTAGAGTAGGGTTATGGAACTCATCTTGCTTATTATCATTCTGATGTTAGAGGGCGTTCTAGGAATTTGCTAGTTTGATAACATTGCAAACTCAAATTCAGTTCTTTCTTGATATCTCATACTATACTGTGTTTATTTAATTGCCTTATTTTTATTAATACAGAAACTAATATATAATTCTTCCAGTATTGAAGGAGATCTCCATGAATTCTTGAAAATTACTGCGTCAGTTTTTGACTTGCACAGGTTTGATCAAAATGTAGGCCCTCAAGACTCTAAATATTAATAAAGGATGTTTCTTAGCTTCTTAATAGAAAACTTCTGAAATATTGAAGATATATAATTATCCAGTGCCCTGTCGTGTTATTTTTAAGTGGTAAATCTGAGCCCTTAAAGTGGATGTAGCCATGTGATATACCAATGAGCTGGCTTTGGAATTGGGAAAGGTTGGGAAGAATATATGAGTGAAATAGAAATAGCCATCAGTTGGGTAATGGGCTTTGTAATTTCAGAGTACTGTTATATACATAGTTATGTCTTTACAACAACCCTATGGAATAGTTATTACTCTGCTTATTTTATAGATTACACACCCCTCAGAATGGTAAAACAGATTTAATTGTTTTCTTTTTTTTTTAAATAAAATGCAGGGCTTGAATTCTCAACCCTGAGTTCAAGACCTGAGCAGACACTTAGCAGACTGAGCCACCCAGGTGCCCCTAGAACAGATTTTTAAAAAGGTGGAAACCTGGAATCTAATCATGGTCAAATACCCTTCTTCCTGTACCATTCCTGGAAGCGTATTTAGACAAAAATATAGATATATAGAGATTTTAAATGAATATAATGGTGTGTTAGATTCTTTTATCAAAAAACAATTTTTCACTTTCTTCATTCATAAGGATTTTATATTTCTTTAATACATTTATTTTATTTCCTTAATACATTTACAGAGCCTTTTTTTTTTTTTAAGTCATAAGGGTCATGAATTTTATAAGCCCTTCAAATAAATTTTGAGGTAAGAGATAATTCATCAAAGTTTTTTTAAAAAAATTTGAGGCCCATATTAAAAACCGTACTTAAAAAAAAAGACCTGCGTTTGGCTTTGTGCAGATAGCTCGGAGCCTGGAATCTGCTTCGGATTCTGTGTCTCCCTCTCTCTGCCCCTCCCCTGCTCATGCTCTGTGTCTGTCTGTCTGTCTGTCTGTCTCTCTCTCTCTCAAGAGTAAATAAACATTTAAAAAAATAGATCAGTCTGAATTAATGCAATATATAAAATTTCTGTCTTTCTAAAGAATACGTTTTGATTAAAGTATAAACATAATTGTAGAGTAGCAATTCTTCCTTAATACTTGGCCCCAAGGGGATTTATTTTAATGAAAAACTAAAAGTGGGTTTTAGTTTTAGGAATATAGATACTTTGAAAGTGCTTGAAAACTGATGGACTCTTGGGGCGCCTGGGTGGCACAGTCGGTTAAGCCTCCGACTTCAGCCAGGTCACGATCTCGCGGTCCGTGAGTTCGAGCCCCGCGTCAGGCTCTGGGCTGATGGCTCAGAGCCTGGAGCCTGCTTCCGATTCTGTGTCTCCCTCTCTCTGCCCCTCCCCCGTTCATGCTCTGTCTCTCTCTGTCCCCAAAATAAATAAACGTTGAAAAAAAAAATTTAAAAAAAAAAAAAAGAAAACTGATGGACTCTATATGTATCTATACTATGTTAATTGAATATTATGTTATTTAATGTTGCTTATGTTAATTGAAAAATTTTGAGAAATTGTACTAAAGATTGTGAACTATCAGAGTCCAAATGAAAGGGTTTTCGTTTCACTGACGTAGCCAAAATTCAACAATCCATGCCACCAGTATTTGAGTATTGCTATCTGTCAGGCAGTGTTCCCGATGAATAAAGAAGCATTTATATGAGTGCTCTGGGAATGTAGAGGAGGGATATGTATTGTTTGTTTCTGTCTTTTCACAATAATTTTTCATGTTAGAAGATAGTGTATAAAAATTGCTCCAATCCGGTTCATTCTCCCTCATTTTCTGTATTTAATCTTTATTAAAAAAAATAGAAGAAAAAACTAATAGTATTTTTTTCTGTTCTATGTCCCTGGTAAAGTATATTCTTTGTTAAATTTATTTTTTTTCTTTATTTAATTTCTTAAGTCTTGTCTTTCCATAATTAGACTTGTTCTTTCTCTGGGAAGGGATTGCTATTCTATTTTCTTTTTCTTCCACCTCAACCCCTGCCTCCATTTTGCCTATGTAATTCTACCAGTGACTTTTTTTCCAAAGACCTATGTGAAATATGTTTAAGAATTGTCGTATTGAGTTCAACGTCTTTTCTCTTATACTTTTACTACCATACACCAGTGCTTTTTAGACCCTAGGTCAGGACCCATTAGTAAGTCATAAAATCACATTATGCATTGCCCAACTAACTTTTTTTTAATGCATAGAAAATATCAGTGTAATATCAGCGTGTAATAAGGGCAGGTTTTGTTTTATGAACTTTGTTTAGTATGTGTATGATGTGTAAGGATGCGATGAGATGTATTAAGAATTTATTATTTCTTACTGTGAGTTGAGGTTAGAAGGAAGGAAGAAAGGGAGAGGGGGAGGGAGGGAGGGAAAGAGGTGAGGGGAAAGAAAATAGCAGCACAGGGCCATACCATTATAAGATTTGTACCATGGTTAACCACAGGTTAAACCCATCACTGAAATTTTTAATTGGAAGCCATAGTTAAGTTAGTCCTAAATCTCTTTAATTGTCATTTTTGGATTAGCAAATCTAGTATTGACTGGGAGAAAGGAAAAGAATTTTAGCTTTTGATGTTGCTTTCCACCTTCTCCTCCTTTTCTTTTCTCCTTTTTTACCTTCCAAACTCCCCCAATATTTTGGACCTTTGTATTATCTGTATAGTGTCCTGGCAAATAGCTTTTTAACTAGGCATTTCAATAAATTTGTAAACTCCATTTATAACTACAATAATTTCTTTCAACATACCTCCAGTTCCATTAATTAGAATTGAAACGATCACTTCTTAACTTTGGCAGCTGATTTCAAGCCTCAAACCTAGATGAAGAGAAAATTTACTTAACTTGAATGGGCTAAACTATTCTCACTTTATAAATTTGTTCTTAAGATGTCCTAAAATCAACATGTTTTCCCTCCAAAGTGTCATGTGACAGTCTCTTTTTTTATTTTTCATTTTAATAGCAACTGACAAAACTTTTTATTTAGGTTTATAATCAGGAATGACATTTAATTTTATCTAATAGTTTTTACAAACTAGTTATCTACATGGTTTTAAATTATGTTAATAGCGACCTCTACTGGTTTTCACTGTGGTATCCTGAAAGAGTCACTTTTGCTTGAAGTGAACTACATTAGTTTATAAAAGTAGGAAAATTCAGCTTTTACATTAACATGAGTTTCTTCACTTTCAATGGAAATGCTAACCAAGTAAGTGCTAGAAATTAAAGAGAAGTATTTTGTAAAAATTAATGATTTATAGAGGGTTCAAACTCTAATGATGAACTACGGTGTATAAAAATTGCTGTTACCAATGTAAACCCTTGTTTTCCATGATCTGTAAATACTTTTGAAGTCAAGTACTTTTGCATGATGAATAAAGAAAAAATTTCTTAGAGGTTTCAAGTGCAAAATGCTACTTTAGGTTGTAATTGGTATTATTAAAAGGTCAAATGAATGAAAATTAGATTTAGATACTTGCTTCTTGAGCTTAGGTCTTGTTGAGATTTTATATAAGCAATGTTTTTTTTTATTTTTTAGATTTTTTTTTTTTTAACGTTTATTTATTTTTTAGACAGAGAGAGACAGAGCATGAACGGGGGAGGGGCAGAGAGAGAGGGAGACAGAATCGGAAGCAGGCTCCAGGCTCTGAGCCATCAGCCCAGAGCCCGACGCGGGGCTCGAACTCACGGATCAGGAGATCGTGACCTGAGCTGAAGTCGGACGCTCAACCGACTGCGCCACCCAGGCGCCCCTAAGCAATGTTTATTCTAATCATTCTTGTCATTAGCTTTATCACAGCTAAGTTGAAATCCTGAATGTGATATTCTCCCCTAGATAATACAAAGAATGTTTAATCTCTTAATTGTCTAATTAAGAAACTAATCCATTGACAGTAGAGTTTTCTCTTAAGTATGGTTGTAGTATAAATTATAGCACATGTGAAAAGCCTGCTTTTGGTATTCTTTGATTTTTAAAGTAAATTATAAGTGAAAAGCACTATTTAATATATTTGTTGCTTAGTTGTTATTTTCCTATTTTCCAAGGAACGTGTTCAAAAAAGTTTCCCTCATCCAATTGATAAGTGGGCAATAGCTGATGCCCAATCGGCTATTGAAAAGAGGAAGCGAAGAAACCCTTTATCTCTCCCAGTAGAAAAAATTCATCCTTTATTAAAGGTAAAGCTGAAATACTACCTTCTTGCCTTTTAAAAGCAAAATAAAACCCATCGTTTTCAAACGCTCAGCATATATTTTATGGATAATAGTCGATTGAAGAGTAAAATTCTCTCATTTTAATTTTTCCAGAAATTCATGTCACGGGGAGGGATGATATGACAATAGGGAAATATAAGTTGGGCAACATGATTTAAAGTAATTTCATACTGACAAAAATATGCAAATTGAAGGGACTAAGAAAAGTTATAATTGTGGATTTCGTTCAGCTCTGGTGTTACTAGTACCTCAAAGAGAATTTATAAAACTCCTTTCTTATTGGTTAGACCTAAGTGTCCCTACACATCCTTCAAATCTTAATCCTTCACGTTGTCAGATGTGTAGGGACCTCTGTGAGTCTGCCACAGGGCTATGTGTAATTTCTGAGCAAAAATTGTCTAAAGATTACCTAAACTACCCAGTCCCACTTCTCATTTAAATCAGTCAGCTGAATCTCTCCAGAGCTAGTAGAAAGAATAATTGTTGGAAATCCTAATAATCCTGTTTCTATTTATTTAATAAGATTAACAAACTATAGATTAACTCTCACGTCAAAAATATAGGTATTATAGTAATTAAAACCTTAATACTTATGATACCAATCATTTTTATGTACTATAATACAAGCAAAATGTTAATGCTTTTGCGTACATTACCTCTAAACTTTATTACTCAACAAAGTTATTATTGTCATCCCCAGTTTGTAGATGAGGTGACTGAGGCAAAAATGGATTAAGTAACTTTTAGTCCATGTTCACAGGGCTCCAAGTGATGGTGTTAGGGAATTCAGGTCTGTTTGATCTCGTCCAAGACTTAAGATTTAAGACTAAACACTTGGATTATGTTTAAGACTGTCAAAGGTTATGTTTTGTACTCGGGTTGTTGGAAGAAATATCTGTCTGTATTTTACTGGTCTGAGGAAATAAGTGCAAGCTATAGAGAATTACTAAACTACTAGTAACTACATACTTCTGTATAATTCTCTTTTCCTAATTTTTACTAGCCATACATTGAATTTTATTCTGAGAGAATTAACACATTGAGGTATGTGCCTGCTGTGTCAGTAATGATCCTGAACTGTGAATTTTATGATCTAATTGCAGATACCATTTCAGTTTATTAATAAATCTTTATCACTATAACCATTTCATAGTTTTTACATATCTTTAAAGGTAAATGCCACCTGCCGCCAACTTATAAGTAAACTTCGTGTTTCAAAGGTTTTTTTTAAATCGGATTATTTAGAAAATAGAATTTGTTTCCCTGTAGCAACTGGTCAGCCCCACAAAAGCCCATACCTTCTTTGAAGTCTAATAATACTATTTAACATGTTCTTAGTAACCGCTGTTGTTCAGTAGAACATAGCATAAATTTTTTCTCATTGAAACAGTACAAATACCAGAAATGCGCCACCAGGGTTTTGGGATCCCAGATTCCTTTGGAATGAAGAACAGAGGTATAAGGCTAGTGTACATATTCCCAGATATCAATAATACATTAACTTTTGTTCTGAATAAACAAAAAACCTCTTTTGTCATAGTTAATTCCAGGTATTCTGAATTAGGTAAAGTGAGCATTTCTCCTGTCCCCCAAACTGGGGCTTCTCTTCTTAAGTTAAGGATGATCTATTTAGTAATCTGTACTTATTAAGTATTTTACATGATCGTAGGTAATTTTGCTCTACCTACATTTCCAAATAGCAATATGTATATTATTCATAGATGAACCACTTACAATGAAATGTTGTTGATAATCACAGGCCTCAGTAAAAGTTAAGCTAAATTGTATACATGTTTTTTTAAATTTTTAATCAGTGTGTCAAATTTATAGTATCTGATTTTTAAACATGTTTTTCTTTTAATTTTTCAGGAGGTCCTAGGTTATAAAATTGACCACCAGGTTTCTGTTTACATAGTAGCAGTATTAGAATACATTTCTGCAGACATTTTAAAGCTGGTGGGGAATTATGTACGAAATATACGGCATTATGAAATTACAAAACAAGATATTAAAGTGGCAATGTGTGCTGATAAGGTAGGATACTGATCTTCTGTATGTCTTGTTCTTAAGTTTTTATTCCTGATTTATTGGATGCTAACATACTATTCAGATAATAAAATTATATATTATGTGTTAGGGTATATTTCCAGTAGTCTAGTAGCAACTACACAAGATATCACTTTATGGAAATAGAGTATTATATATATAGTATTAAACCATGTTTATTTTTAAAAATGTTTTATTTATTTATTTTGAGAGAGAGAGAGAGTGAGCGAACCTGTGAGTGGGGGAGGGGCAGAGAAAGAGAATCTCAAGCAGGCTCTGCACTGTCATCATAGAGCCTGACCTGGGGCTCGATCTCACAGACCATGAGATCATGACTTGAACCGAAATCAAGAGTCAGATGTTTAATTGACTGAGCCACCCAGCTGCCTGTAAACTGTGTTTAAAAATGTCATGCAGTTTTTCTTTTATGTGTTCCTGCAAGTAGAGTAAATGATAGTAATAATCTCTTATTAGTGAAATTCTTTAAAGTATTTAGATTGGAATACTTAGAAGATGATGAACTTTGAAAACAAATTTTGAAAATGTAAAAATACTAAACTCTTGAGGGCTTTATTTCAACACCTACCTCTCTTTAGATACTACTTCTGTGGTTTTATTATAAAAATATTAAGAACAAACATTGGGGCACCTGGGTAGCTCAGTCAATTAGGTGTCTGACTCTCGATCTTGGGGTCATGAGTGCAAGTCCTGCGTTGGGCTCCACGATGTGTGTGGAGCCTACTAAAAATAAAAAGAGCAAACATTATTGAAGTTAAGCATATATGTAATTTATTTCCTTTCGTCTTTGTGGTACCCCTGTAAGGTAGGTACTCTTTATAAAAGGGAAACTGAAGTTTAGAGAGATACAGAAATTGACCCAGAACTTACTAAGAAGTTTCAAAACCTGGACTCAAACTCTAGATCTCATTCTAAAGCTCTTAGTTATTACTCTAGATTGCCTCAATATTTTTATTTTATGAAAATGACTTTTCAGAAAAGAAAATATTTTCGGATGAGCATTTCGTTCCATTTTTTCCTCACTATACTCTTATTGATTTGGACTATTCTCTCTGATTACTGAATCCACTTAATTATGTTCTAGTGTTTATTTTTTTCTTTTAGAATGTGAGCATATAGAGTAAAAATCACCTGATCTGAGGAAGGGTCTCAAATGTATTGACATTTTTAAATGAATAACTATTTGGTTTTTAAAATATTTTTCAATGAATATAAAATATTTGTTAGCTTTTGGGGCGCCTGGGTGGCGCAGTCGGTTAAGCGTCCGACTTCAGCCAGGTCACGATCTCGCGGTCCGTGAGTTCGAGCCCCGCGTCAGGCTCTGGGCTGATGGCTCAGAGCCTGGAGCCTGTTTCCGAGTCTGTGTCTCCCTCTCTCTCTGCCCCTCCCCCGTTCATGCTCTGTCTCTCTCTGTCCCAAAAATAAATAAACGTTAAAAAAAAAAAAAAAATATTTGTTAGCTTTTAAATCAGATAAGTAAAATATTTTTTAGTACATACTATGAGCTTACACAGAGAGGAGATGCAAAAGAAGTATAAAACAAGGCTGCAGAGTTGATGAAGGGAAATTTACATTTGTGAAACAAGCACAGAGTAATACAAGATAAAATATTTCATCATGTTGTAGAGATAATGATGTCAAAATTTATAGAAGGGGAAAGGTGAGATTTAGTAAGAGAATAATAATAGGCTTCTTGGAAGAAGCAGGACTAGTTTTGATCAGTTTCCAACAAACGTAGTCAAGGAGGCCAATTAGCAGACTGTGAATTATTCAGATACAGGGCAGTGAGGCCCTGGAATGAGGTGGTGATGACAAGGGTATGGAACAGAGGAAACTAAGGGAAGTCTAAGACAAAGTTTGGGAACAAATTTGAACTAATAGGTTAACAAGAGAGACAGACAGGTAGCAGTATTAACAGAGAGCTTGGAGGAGGCAGTTTGTGATATTAGATGTAGAATTCTGTTTGTAGAGAAAATATGCAGGAAGCAGTGGCAATATAGCCAAGAAGAGATTATTGTGTTTCTGCTTTTTATCACTTATGAACTGTATTCAAAGAGCAACTTAGGGTGCTTATCTTTAACTACAGATTCATATTTCACTGTACTTTTTTTATATCTCTGACTATGTAGGTATTGATGGATATGTTTCATCAAGATGTAGAAGATATAAATATATTATCTTTAACCGATGAAGAGCCTTCCACCTCAGGAGAGCAAACTTACTATGATTTGGTAAAAGCATTTATGGCAGAAATTCGACAGTACATAAGGGAACTAAATTTAATTATAAAAGTTTTTAGAGAGCCCTTTGTCTCCAATTCAAAATTATTTTCAGCTAATGTAAGTATTGTTGTATACACATATATCATTGTACGTGTTAATTTTACATGATCCCTTAAATTTGAATTTGTGTAGTTTATGATTGCTAATTTGTCATAACTTTTTAAGCTGTGTGATTTAATTCATAGTGACTATGATCTCAGAGTTGCTACAACAGTTTCAATAAATTCAACATCAAAAATGAAAAGACCAAATCTAAACTAGACTGAACTATAAGTGCAAGTGAATTCAGTTTTCCATGTACTCCAAGGAATAAAGCCTCTTGTTAAAGTGGAAGATTTTTTTTGTTTATTTTGACTCATTTGAGTCATTCAACTAATACTTCATCAGTACTGCCTGTATATACTGTTAGGCACCATACAGTACTTGGCAGTGAGGATTCAGAGATGAGTAGGAAACAATTCCTTACCTCAAATTGAGTCTAGTCAAGATGGAAATGTAAACTTGATGTTAAATTGCAACACAGTACGGTAATTACCATAATAGAAGTGCGATGACAATATTTTGGGGAGCAAAGAGAGGGAGCCAATAACATTGAAAATTAGAGAAGGGATTACTGATCTTACAATAGCAATCAAACCAACCTAACTGAATCCTGGGGAAATGCTGAATGCTGAGAACAGTTGAGATTGTCTAAGGGGGCTGCATTCGTAGATTGTCTAAGGTAGAACTCTAGGCATGGGTGACTGATAGAAAAGCAGTGCTCACTACAGTAGCTGGCACTGGGGCTCAAGTTATGGCAATGAGTGAACGTTAAAAGTTAACAGGAGTGGTTTATGAGTTGCACAAACCTTTAAGTATAGTAAAAAAGACATTGAATTGTTGACTTTAAATGGATAAATTACATGGTATGTAAATTTTACCTTAAAGTTGTTTTGAAAAATAAAGGAGTAAAGAATAGGTAAAGATTTCTTAGGACACAAAAATCAAGAACCATAAAGTAAAAAATTAATGAATTGGATTTCATTAAAATGAAAAACTTTTGTTCTTCTAAAGACACTGTCTCAGAAATAAAAATGTAAGCCACAGATTGGTAGAACCTATTTGAAATACATATATCTAATAAAAGACTTGAACCCATAATATATAAAGGACTTAGACAATTCAATAATTAGAATAACAGCCTGACAATTTTAAGTGGGCAGGAAATTTACACACTTTATAAGAGAAGCTATTCCAGTGACCAAAAAGCACATTGAAAGATGCTCAACATCCGTAGCCCTCAGGGAAATGCAAGTTAAGACCACAATGAGATACTACTACAAACCCATTAGAACGGCTGTAATTAAAAAATGACATTACCAAATGTCGAAAAGAGTGTGAAGCAACTGCTTGTGGGAATGTAAAATTCCCTTGTTGCTTGTAAGAATGTAATCTGGTACAAATACTTAGGAAAAGAGGTTGGCCGTTGGTGTAACATTACACATAAACTAGCCATACTGCCTGCAATTCCACTCCTAGGTTTTTACCCAGAAGAAATGAAAACATGTCCACACAAAACTTGTTTGTGAATGTTCATAGCAGCTTTATCTGTAATGGCCCCAAACTGGAAACAACCCAAATATCCATCAACAGGTAAATGGATATACAAATTGTGGTATGTCCATACGTATGGAATACTACTCAGAATTAAAAGGAATGAAGTAGTTATATAAGCAACATGGATGCATCTCAAAAACGTAACCTAAGAAACTAAACAAATATGATTGTGTATGATTCCATTTGTTTAATATTGTAGAATTCTAATCTGTAGTGACAGAAGGCAGATTGCTGGTTTCCTGGGGGCAATAGTGGTGATTAATGGGGATTGAACATAAGGAAACTTCTCAAGGTAATAAAAGTGTTTTATATCTTGACAGTGGTGACAGTTATAAGAGTAAATAACATCATAAAATCTCATCTAAAAGTACATCAAAATAGGTATATCTTATTGCATATGAATCCTACTTCAAAGTTGATTGGACAAAAAAATATAGTCAAAGATAATCAAATAAAAAAAGTAACTGAACAAATGCAAATGAGTATTTGTTTTTCAATTACCTAGACATTTTTCTAAAAGTTAAGATTGACAATCTTGTATGTAAGGGTTGTATGTAAGGGTTTGACCAAACTGTTACTCCCATACACTACTTATGGGAGGGTAAACCAGTGGACTTTTTTAAAGAAAATATCCGTTGACATTTCAAGTGTGTAACCCCATGACAGAAGCCCATCCAGGAATCTGACCTACAGAACATCGTAAGTCACCAAGTGTTGAATTGAGCATTCTTGTATCATGTCTACTTGTAACAAAAATGAGATAACAAAGGAATAGAATGAAGACATGAAGTAAAAGGGGACTGTCTGGACTCATGGGAGTTTTTTCTGTCACTACTGGTAGAACAAGAGCTGGGCATCCCATGAGAAAGCCCAGGTAAGAGAAGCGCTGAGGCAGTTAGGAGGTTTGTGTAAGCACTTCTGCTCCATACCACAGTAGGGTGGCTGCGTTGAAGGAAAGCACTGTATGACTGAATGGCTACCTGAACTAGCCATTTTCTTCATGAAACACTACTTTTACCTGAAAGAACAACTGACAGGTCTGTAGTTATTTAGACTTGTGTGTTTGGCAGACATTTCTCAAAAATGAATGAAATGGGGGAATAAAACGAACAAACCTGTCACTTCAAGGAGAGTGGCAATATTTGTTGACAGTGATAAAATTTGAGCTTCCAAATGAAATAAAATTTTGGAAAATTTGTATCTACTCCCAAGATCGGTGGTGATACTAATAGGTTTGGTCTTTTAATATTCTATAGTTAAATGTGTTAACATTTGGAAAATCTGCAAAATTCAATGGACCACTGTTTTCCAAGTGACCAAATTCATAATGCTGCGAAAACATACATAGGTAAAGAATCCTTTCAAAATTTAATATAGCCCGATGGATTTTGATGTAATAGTACAAAATTGATGTGGTTTCAGATTCCACTTGCAACTAACCTTTAAGAAACTATCATTTGTTGATTTCGGGCATACTAGCATGAAAGGGTGTTCACTCCATTTATATGAAACGTCCAGAATAGGCAAATCCAGGGAGATAGAAAGTAGATTAGTGGTGGCCACCCCCTGGGCAGAAAAGAAGAATGGAGGATGCTGCTAATGGACATAGATAGACCTTCTCTTTGAGGTGACAAAGATATTCTGGAATTTTATACTGCCGATAATTGAACAGCTCTGAATATGTGAAAACCATTGAATAGTGCAATTTAAAAGGGTGAATTTTATGGTTTGTGACTTACATCTCAATAAAGAAACTGTACTGAAAAAGAAAAGGATATCTACAATTATTTGAATAGACAATTAAAATATTCCTCCCTTTTCCAACTACCTATCTGTGTGAAGCTAGATTTTCTTTGTATGCTTTAACCAAAACAATGTCTCACAACAGATTAAATACATATATATGAAAATCGAGCTACCTTCTATTAAGTCTATTAGAGATTTGCAAAAATGTAAAAAAGTGCTAGTCTTCTCACTGTTTTAAGGAAATAACAGTTTTCAAAAAGTATATGTGCTATATATTGAGAACCACTGACCTTAAAGAAATATATTTGCAAATTGTACACCTTTGCACAAAGAATTCTTAAGCTGTCTTTTGCTTACGTTTCTAAGTTGTTAAAATTTCTCAATGTATTTTTCATGTTAAATGTTATGATTATAAAATGACTTATTGGCTCAAAATTTGTTTTTTATTCTATAGCCTAACTGAATTAATATGTTTTTCCTCCCGACAGGACGTAGAAAATATATTTAGTCGTATAGTAGATATACATGAACTTAGTGTAAAGTTACTGGGCCATATAGAAGATACTGTGGAAATGACTGATGAAGGTAGTCCCCATCCCTTAGTAGGAAGCTGCTTTGAAGACTTAGCAGAGGTAAGTACTTTAATTATACACCCAAAAAAGTCCATATAAAAGCCCTACCTTGCATTAAAATTGGAGTCTTAATTCATGTTTCCAGCTAAAATCATAGATATTAACTGATGACCACTCAGCTATATTGCCTGTTCCTCATAGGGTCATTGTCAACATTTGTTTCTATTGTCTTATGAAACCCACAAAAAAGTAGTCTCTTATCCATTATGAAAAAGGAGATCCCACCAAGGAGAGGCATTTACAGCTGACACTCAATCATCTGTCTTATATAGCAAAGCTAAGAAAAGTCCATGAATGCCCTGTCAATGAAGAAGCCATGGAACTTGGATCTGAGGTTAGACTACTTGTGTTCTGGTCTAAATTCTGCTACTTACGAGTTGTATGTGACTGTGGGCAATTTATCTCAAATCTTTAAACCTCCATATATATATATATATATATATATAAAATAGAGATAATAATAGGGTTCAGGATTTTTGTAAAAATTAAAATAACCTACCTAAAATATTTAGCTAACCACCTTCACACAGTAAGCTATTCAATATATGATAACTATACGTTATAATTTGGAATAGGAGGAGTGAAGTGAATAGGAAAATCAGGTCTAGGACCTAGATGATTCAAATGCTGTGGGGGTGGAAAAATAGTGACCCTCTCCTTGGGTATTCAAATGCTACAGTATATGAGTTAGTCCTAATAAGTTCGCATTGGTAGTCATTCTGAAATTTTTAGCTCTTCCTTTGTTCTTACTCTAAAATCCACAAACACAGGGTTGAGTTTGTAAAATAAAAAATTTAAGATTTTCAGGCAGAATAGCTTAAACTTCACTGACAGCCCCTCCACTCTTGCTTCAAACACATAGAAGTCATAAAGTATATTTTTTTAAAAAAAGGAATATATATACGGGGTGCCCAGGTGCCTCAGTCAGTTTAGTATCTGACTCTTGGTTTCAGCTCAGGTCATGATCCCAGGATCATTGGATCAAGCCTCGTGTGGGCTCCTCACTGAGTGTGTGGATCCTGCTTGAGATTCTCTCTCCCCCTCCCTCCCCCTCTGCTCCTCTTCCCCACTGTGTGCTCTCTCTCTCTCAAAAATAAATAAATAGATATTTTTTATAAACTTAAAAAGAAGGAATATGCAAAACTGGACTAAAAAATAAGATCAGTAGTAGAGTAGAAATAGAGTAGACATTCAAGATAATGAACTCTGGTAGCTGAGTGTTCAACTCTTAAGGATAATGAAGATTAAATGTGCTCCGCGAAAGTGAGCAAGATTTCTTGTTTCAAGACCCTGATTATAAGAGGATGCCAGAGAAATCTGTCAATTTCCTGCCTGCAAAGTTTTATAGAAAGTTGTAGACTTGAGGTGGGGGAACAGAAACACTACCTTATAACAAATATACTTTAAAACTTAACAAATTATCCCACAATATTAAGCCAATGTGACTACAGAGCCTGAGACCCAAAAATCACAGAACAGGTTCTGGTCTGAAAGAATGATCATAAAGAGATGGGAGAGAAAAAAAGGAAACCAAACATTAGAAGCCTCCCCCTAAGAAATCTCTAACACACAATTCCAAAATACAGGACAAATAATAATGCTTAGTGTGATATCTAACAAAATCAACCATTAGGGAAAAAAAATCATTCCAGATGAAATTAATTTTGTGCAATAGACATATGAAGACTTTAAAAGAAGTTTAGGAGGCTCAAAGAGATAAGTGAAGAAATATTTATAAAGAAGACATTGTGAAACAAAAATAAGTGGAGGGAAAAGAAGAACAGGTAGCTATCAAAAGAAACAATTAGGGGCTCCTGGGTGGCTCAGTCGGTTAAGGGTCCAACTCTTGATCTCAGCTCAGGTCTTGCTTGATCTTAGGGTCATGAGTTCAAGCCCTGCTTTGGGATCTGTGCTGGGCATGAAGCCTACTTAAAAAGGGACGTGGGTGTATGCCTGGGTGGCTCAGTTGGTTAAGCATCTGGCTTTGGCTCAGATTATGATCTCACAGTTTGTGAGTTTGAGCCCCACATCAGGCTCTCTGCTGTGAGCACAGAGCCCACTTCACATCCTCTACCCCACCCCCACCCCATCTACCCTTCCTCTGCTCACGCATATGTGTGCACTCTCTCAAAACCAAATAAAAACTTACAAACAATTAGGGATATTGGGAATTAAATATAAACAAAAACTCACTATGTAGTCAACATTTGCTAGACCTGGTTCAAAGAGAAAATTTATGAATTGGAGAAAGGAATTGAGGAATTCACTGAAAATGTGACACACAGAAACCACGATTAGAATATGATCCTCTTAGAACAGCTAAGAGTAATGAAGTCTACACTGAAAGACTTTAATATTGTCTAATAGGAGTTTCAGATAAAGAATGGTGGAGAAGAATAATTTGAAGGGGTAAAAGTTGAGCATTTTCCAGAAATGAAGACATGAGTTCCCAGGTCAAAAATGAATTCCAAATAGTGGGCAGGATAAATAAAAATAAACCTACAGTCAAAAACGTTACAGTGAAACTATGGATCAAGGATAAAGAGAAAATCTGAAAAGCCGTAAGAGAGAAAAGAGTACTACTTGAAAAGGAACTATAATTAGAATGACAGAAGACTTCTCTTTAACAATAGATGCTAACAGTCAGTTGAGGAATATCTTCAAGTACTAAGGGAAAATAGAATTTTCTGTCCAACTAAACTTTTATTCAAGAGTGAGTTAAAATAATAAAGCTTGCGGAAGCAAATGTGAGAGATCTTCATGACCTTAGAATAAGCAAAGATTTTTAAAACAAGACACCAACACCATAAGAGAAAAGATTGATAAGCTAGATTTCATTAAATGTAAGAGCATGTGTTCAGCAGGGGTGCCTGGGTGGCACAGTCCCTTAAGCATCTGACCCTTGATTTCAGCTCGGGTCATCATCTTGTGGTTCGTGGGTTTGAGCCCTGTGTCAGGCTCTGCACTCACAGTGTGGAGCCTGCTTGGGATTCTGTGTCTCCCTTTCTTCCCGCCCGTCCCCTGCTCACGTGCATGTGCTTGTGTGTGCTTTCTCTCAAAAATAAATCCATGTTTATCTTTAAAAAAACTGGTTATCCATATGGAAAGAAAAAACTCCTTCCTTAGCTCACTTCATACCCAAGTTCTCAACAGATTAAAAATCTAGAAAACAAAAAGCAAATTTTGAAAGTTTGGAAGAGAGGGGCACCTGGGTGGCTCAGTCAGTTAAGTGTCTGATTCTTGATTTCAACTAAAGGTCGTGATCTCACAGTTCATGAGATCAAGCCCCGCATTGGACTCCATGCTGACAGCACAGAGCCTGCTTGGGATTCTCTCTCTCTGCCCCTCCCCCACTTGTATACACATTTTCTCTTTCTCTCTCAAATAAACTTTTAAAAAATTCAGAAGAGAATATAGGAGAATATATTTATGACTTTGAGATAGAAAAGCTTTCTTGGGGCACCTGGGTGGTTCAGTCAGTTAAGCGACTGGCTTCAGCTCAGGTCACAATCTCACGGTTCATGAGTTCGAGCCCCACATCGGGTTCTGTGCAGGCAAATCAGAGCCTGGAGCCTGCTTCGGATTCTGTGTCTCCCTCTGGCTCTCTGCCCCTCTCTCTCTCTCTCTCTCTCTCTCTCTCTCTCAAAAATAAATAAGTATTAAAAAATATATTTAAAAAGAAAAGTTTTCGTAAAGAACCTAGAGAGTGCAAGCCATAAAAGATTAAAGTTTTTAAACTTCTATTCACAAAAAGACACTATAAAGTTGTGAGAATATGAAAGAATGAAGTTGAACTTTCTGCCTCATACCATATACAAACATAAAATAGATCTAATGTAAGAGCTAAAATTATAAAACTCTTAAAAGAGAGCATGGCTAAATCTTCACAATCTTGGCTTTGGCAAAGCATTCTTAGATGTGACAACCAAAGCATGAGCTACAAAACAAAAAAATACATAATTTGGACCTGGGTGGTAATGGGAGGGAGTGAGGTATGATTCTAAAGGGGCAATGAGAGATCCCTGTGGTGATGGAAATGTTCTGTACTGCACTACATCAGTGTCAATGGCCAAGTTGTGATATTGCACTATATTGTACTATTGGAAGATGTTACCTTTGTGGGAAACTGAGTAGTGTGCACACAGGATCTTTCTATATTATTTCTTACAATTGCGTGTGAATCTAAATTATCTCAAAAAAAGTATATTTATTCAATACAATGTTAAAGAATTTAGAATAAATGAGTGGAAGAAACTACATTAATCCAAATGGGTAAGTCTTGGACATAAGTTTGAATGTAAAGTACAAATTGCAGAAGCATAAATACATTATGATATTTATATAAAGTTTGAAAGCATTGCCTTATTTCTTGATACATGTGTAATTATGATATAAAAACATACATGGAAATGATAAAATTCAAATTCAGGATAATGATTTCCTGTGGGGATCAGCAGGGGAGGAGATAAGCTTGTGAAAGAAGGATCAATTACCACTAAACTGTCTTCTTTCTTTTTTTTTAAAGAAATTATTCTTTCTTTTATTATATTTTTATTTATTGTATTATAAAATGTTGAAATTAGAAAATGTTGAAATTTTTGGAGCTAAATGGTGAATATAGTTACATGAGTTGTTCTAATGTACTTTTCTGTATGTTTAGAATATTCTACATTTTTAATCATTAATATACAATTGTGTATATTGATCATTGTTTTGTGAATCTTGTATTGAATTTTAACCAGTAAACTAATCAGAAAATCATCTATTAACTTATATAAGGATTCTTAGTAGTGCTAAGAGTTCTACCAATTTATGCTCAAGGATAAAACTATGTGATGAGAGGTTGGATTCCCAGTTGGCGATGTTTTTCCCTTTTGAGATTAGCCAGTTAAAATTATAATACTGCATACCGTTTATTCAGTACTTTATATGTGCGTGCACTGTTTGTAAGCATTTTGCACGTTATCATTTAATTCCTAAAACAACCCTTTGAGAGTAGGTATTATCCACATTTTCCAGTGAAGAAACTGGCTTTGTTTATCAGAGCTCACATAGCTAATAAGTAGTACAATCAGAATTAGAATCTGAGTCCCTATGACTCTAAAGTTAGGCTTTTAAGCCACTTTACTCTACAGCCTTTATGTATATAGTTGTCATAAAAATTCTATAGTACATTTGAGTTTATTGAAAGAGGAGGAAGGCAAACATTATCTTCTGTACAAGATAATTTCTAGAGTTCAAGAGACCCAAGATAAAAGCATCAAATCACATTTTTATTCCTCTCTCCCATTTACTCTGTCCATACCTGACTCCTTGTTATTGCTGAAACCTTACTATCCCTTCTTGTAAAACCTACAGTGGACTGCAATTTCCAGTTTACATTATTATAGAAATTTTTAGTTGGGAAAGTAGTTGAAGGAGTTGAAATTGGGAAATGAATTAGGAACCAGTTCAAGGAATTCAGGATGACTTAGAACTATGTAAGCCATATTGTGTTTCACAAAGAATAGAACTCCGGTCTCCTGATTTCTGATCTTATATTGTCATTATTCAATCTTAAAAAAAAAAAAAAAAAATCTAAGAAACATTAAGAGTAATCAACACAAACATCATTTGTTCTGTCAGTCCTTTCTGTACTCCTCCACTAGATGTCCTCTTCCTCTTTCTAGAATTACCCTTCCTAGAAATGAGCTCTTGCTAGAAACTAGAGTACTGTTTTCATAATAGTTTCTTAAACCATAAATAAGTTAGAGCATAGGATGGCTTCTGCTAAAATCATGACGCCTATTCTCTTGTTCCTCAGGAATCATCAAAACCAATAGATTACAACCTAACCATTAAAATTGTTTAGTCTCTTAATGATTGATGATAGAATTTTTGGGCAGTTTCGATTAAACTCTTGTTTAATTGCTTGTGAAAACCATAACAATGAATTTTAGATGCTATAAACTGTTACCTCTGGCTTACAGAATGTGAAAATAAAAGTCTACCACTAAGAAATAACCTTGAGAAAATAAATGTTGGGCACCTGTATTCTAAAGGTTTATTATACTTTACTTCATTGTAGATATCTATATTTTTTGTTGTTCAGGCTAAACTTTGTTTTCTGGAACCAAAAGTCTGCCCATTCTTATGACTGTTTTTGTTGATAATGCTCTACTAGAATCCTTGATGGGAAGTATCATAAAATACAAGAATGCCATTATTTATCAGAAAGAACTGATTTACTTACTCTCTTACTGGAGAATATTAAACTTATCCTATAAAAATTATAATTAATAGCCATGTAATTTTGTTTAGAGGCTTTAAGAGAAGTACCTCATTGTGCTAGCTTAGATGTACCCATAATTTCATCTGTCTGTATTTCTGGTGGTAGGTTATTTATGTTTTAACTTGGAGAAAGTCTATTTATGTTTTACCTTCTTTATTTTCTAAGGAACTGGCATTTGATCCATATGAATCATATGCTCGAGATATCTTACGGCCTGGTTTTCATGATCGTTTCCTTAGTCAGTTATCAAAGCCAGGAGCAGCACTCTATTTACAGGTATAGTAATTTTTAAATCAAGATATATGATGTCTGAAAAGTAATCTTAAAAAAATTAATCACTTTTTTTTTTAGTCAATAGGCGAAGGTTTCAAAGAAGCTGTTCAATATGTTTTACCCAGGCTACTTCTAGCCCCTGTTTACCACTGTCTGCATTACTTTGAGCTTTTGAAGGTAAGATAACTCTTACTGCTATTTATAAAACATTCAAATATGATGCAATTTTTTTTTACCAGTTTGTGAATTATTATGTGAGCACCCATGAATATTAGTCTGTATCTATTTTCTTTTTCTAGTTAAGAAGTAAATGTAGGGGTGCCTGGATGGGTTAGTTGGTTAAGTTATCTGACTCTTGATTTCTGCTCGGGTCATGATCTCACAGTCATGAGATCAAGCCCCCCCACTGGGCATGGAGCCTGCTTGTGATTCTTCTCTCCCTCTCCTTCTGCCTTTCCCTCTCCTCCCCCTCTTTCTATAAAAGAAAAAAAAAGGGGAGGGGCAGTGTAAGTGAGTCTGCAAAAAAGTGGTGCATTTTCTCTAGTTTCAGGAGTGAATTTTAAAGGAATCATCAGATATTTTAATCTTGTGCCCTTTTTGTTTACATGGCCAATTGTTTGGAAACAACCTTGGATATACGCATCCATAAAATCTAGCAAAAAGCAAACAGCTGCAGTATTTTTCATATACATGGACTATAGGCAGGTGAAAACCGACAGGAATACAAAATTACTAACTTAATCATCTGAATAAGACTAAGTGTACATAATTAAGTTTGAGGTTATCATGTATGCTTTCTCTTAAATGAAAAAATAGAAAATTTAACACTTGAAATCTCTATACCTTTCTTAGGTTTTATTGATAATAAAAAGTACAAGATTAGCAAAATAATTGAGAGAAAACATGTCTGAGTTTAATTTCAACACATCATAATAACCATGTATTTATAGAGAAGATTAAATTGAGGACCAGCAGAATGATAAGACTGTAGTTGATGTAATTTCATTTATAATAGTGCAGTGTTTATCGTGATAATAAGCTTTATTTTAGAAAATAGGAACACTAACAACTTTAGTCTGAAGGCTCGCATGGTTGGACTTTGGCTATATGTTAAAGTTAAACAGTAAATTTTTTAATATTCCTTGATTTTTGTGTAGTAGACCAGTTTGAAGACTGGTCCTTTTTCCCCTTACCATCACAAATATTACAAAAATTGTAGCCCCAAATGCTTAAGTACAGGAATTGTGTGGGAAAGGATTACAGATAAAAACTTAGAACTGAGGGGCACCTGGGTGGTTCAGTTGGTTGAGCTTCCAACTTCGACTCAGGTCCTGATCTCACAGTCTGTGAGTTCGAGCCCCACGTTGGGCTCTGTGCTGACAGCTCAGAGCCTGGAGCCTGCTTCAGATTCTGTGTCTTCCTCTCTCTCTGACCCTCCCCAATTCATGCTCTGTCTCTCTCTGTCTCAAAAATAAATAAACATTAAAAAAATAATAATAATAAAATAAAAAAACTTAGAACTGAGTAGTGCAGGAAAACTTAGGATCAAAAATTGAGAAATGGTGGGGCGCCTGGGTGGCTCAGTCGGTTAAGCGGCCGACTTCGGCTCAGGTCATGATTTTGCGGTCCGTGAGTTCGAGCCCCGCGTCGGGCTCTGTGCTGACAGGTCAGAGCCTGGAGCCTGTTTCAGATTCTGTGTCACCCTCTCTCTGACCCTCCCCCATTCATGCTCTGTCTCTCTCCGTCTCAAAAATAAATAAACGTTAAAAAAAAATTTTTTTTTTTAATTGAGAAATGTTAAAATTAAGAGATTATTTATCCTCCCCAAATAGTCTGGTTTTTTTTTAATGTTACACAAAACAAATTGGAAAAGGCAAATATAAATTGTGCTACATCATACACTTTAAACACTCACTAGTGACCCTCACATAGTGTGCCAGAAATTCTTTGTAAAGAAATCTGCTCCTCAGACCCCTTCTGCAAACATCTTGTATACATTTGTTAATGGCTTTGGTTTGCTGCCTTTACGTTTGGGAGCTGGACAATATCAAACGTCTGCTACTGTGGATAATTTATCTTCTTTTTTTCGTGTTTTGCATTTATTTTAACTGCTGTATGCTTCAAACTATCTATTTATTTATTTAAAATGTTAATTTCTTAAGAGGGAAAGAGAGAGAACAAGCAGGGGAGGGGCAGAGAGGGAGGCAGAAAGAGAGAGAATCCCAAGCAGGCTCCACACTCATCTCGGAGTCTCACAACCACAAGATCATGACCTGAGGCAAAATCAAAAGTCTGATGCTTAACCGACTGAGCCACCCAGGTACCCCATGAGACCATTTTTTATACTGCCTATAAGCTGATGTCTTTCTTTTTTTAATTTTTTTTAATGTTTATTTTTGAGAGAGAGAGACAGAGCATGAGCAGGGGATGGACAGAGACAGAGGGAGACGCAGAATCCGAAGCAGGCTCCAGGCTCTGAGCTGTCAGCACAGAGCCCGACGCAGGGCTTGAACTCACGGACTGTGAGATCATGACCTGAGCCGAAGTCAGACGCTTAACCGACTAAGCCACCCAGGCGCCCCATTTAAAAAAAAAATTTTTTTTTAATGTTTTTATTTATTTTTGAGACAGAGAGAGACAGAGCATGAGCAGGGGAGGGGCAGAGACAGAGGGAGACACAGAATCCGAAGCAGGCTCCAGGCTCTGAGCTGTCAGCGCAGAGCCTGGTGCGGGGCTCAAACCCATGAGCTATGAGGTCATGACCTGAGCTGAAGTCCGACACCTAACCGACTGAACCACCCAGGCACCCCTGAGCTGATGTCTTAATACCAGCAATAAGAGAAGATTTAGAAAACAGCTTCTATCATAAAAATAAGCGCAACAGAGGTCTATCTAGCTTCCATTCCTTAAACTAGATTTCTAAATTTAGACATTCTTATCCAGAAACCATGGGTTCAAAGCAGTGAACTAAATGGTATTATAGCTGACTACAGATGTTAAATGTCTAGAGTTAAGCATAGGATAGTGTAATTCAGGAGCCATTGTAGTAAAAACACAATTAACAGCTGGCTATTGTACTATTCCAGTTTTAAATTTTAAATCAATCAAACTGCTGTGAGGTGCATTTATAATTTTGGTAATTTTCTCTTTGATAAGAATAGATAGTTTGAAAGGTGTTTTATTTTTATAAATGAGCTATCCTAACATTTTTTTAGGGTTGATATCCTGTTTAAAGTTTCAGACTCCTTTCCATCCTTCAGATTTTAACTTGCTTTTACATTATTGTTGCATTTTCTGCCATTTTTCTTTAATTTCCTCTCCTTCTGGAACTCTAGTTACAGATATGTTGAACCACTTTATGTTGTCCCACAGATCTATAAGATTGTTCGTTTTTCTTAAATCTTATTCTTTGTTCTTCAAATTAGTAATTTTTATTGATCTATCAATAGAACTGCTAGTATCTTGCTTACTCTTGAATTTCCATTTGGATTTTGTTTTACAGTTTCCACAGACTCCCTGTATGTCCATTCAGTAAAACCATGTTTTCCTTTAATTCTTTGAACATGATCAGAAAAGCCACTTTGAAGCCTTTCTTAAATCCAACATCTGGGTCCACTTGGTGTCAGTTTCTATTAACTGACTTTTTTTCCTTGAACATGAGTCATATTTTCCTATTGTTTGTTAGTTAACAACTCTGGATTCTATAGTGTTGAGGATTGTGGGATTCTTGTTTTTGGATTGTTGGTTTTTTACTCTAGTAGACAGTTAACTTTCCTGGTCTCAGCTGCAAATTTGTCTCTTCTGTGTTATACAGCAGCTGATATCTCTGTTTACTTTCTAGGATTTCCATATGCTGCTTTTTTAGCCTGATTCTCTTGGATCTCCCCTACACATGTATGATTTGGTAGTCAGATAAGTGTGTGGGCAGAGATGATGTTCAGATTTGGGGGCACAGTCTCTGTGGTTCCCTTATACTTGGAAATTTCGTCCTTAATTTCCAGCCATTCTCTCAGCTTTAAACATTATCCCCTGGCATGTGAAACCAGTAAGGCTTCAGTTTTCTGCTGCCTGAGCTGTGTATAATTTGGGGAATAAACACAGTTTTTTTGTTGTTTTAATTTTTTTTAATGTTTATTTTTGAGAGGGGGGAGGGGCAGAGAGAGAGGGAAACACAGAATCTGAAGCTAGTTCCACGCTTGAGCTGTCAGCACAGAGCCTGATGTGGGGCTCAATCTCACAAGCCATAATAAGATCATGACCTGAGGCAAAGTCGGCCGCCGAACCAACTGAGCCACCCATGCGCCCCTGTAATTTCTTTTATTACTGCATGTTTCAGACTAGAAATTGAACTTAGCTTCAATCTGCTAAAACTATTAGTCTTTTTATAGAAGGAAGATACTCTGATAGGTATACAGAAAGCTGAAGAGCACATATTTAGCATCTGCTAAAAGTGTTAAAGTATTACTTTAAAAAAAAAAAACAGCAAAAATAAATAAATAAAAAACAGCTTTATTGAGACATGATTTCCATGCCAAGTGTTCTTCATTAAAATGTACTGAGAAAAAAAAAAAAAACAAATTCAGCTCCAAGTACCTGTAGGGAAGGAAATTTTTCTTCAACCCACTTACTGGGTCTGAAAAGTAAACTGACAAAGACTAACAGGAAAAAAAGCATACAACTTTATTTATTCATACAAGTTTATTTGATGTCACTTTTACATGATACAGGAGCATTGGCGCACTGAATATTTAAGGTGAAGGAACTTAAGACAGAAGCAAGAAGGTCACTGATCTTCTGTTTTCTAAAACCCCTTCGACTTAAAATATTTAATATGTCAAGGTGCTATTTTGGGGGGTAGCATGTCCTGAAACCCATCACTCCTTTCACCTCCTCCCACCCCCAATCCCATCATTTACTCATGAAATTGCTCTGGATAAAGCAGTGACCCCTTTGCTATTAGGTAATGAACTGCCACACCAAACGTTGATTATGGCAACATGAAAAAAATCAGGAACTTATGCAGTTCTCATTAGAATTAAAAGGATTCAATGAAGAGGGGTATAAAAAGGGAAATGTAGAGGGATGCCTCGGTGGCTCAGTCAGTTAAATGTCTGACTCTTGATTTCGGCTCGAGTCGTCATCATCACGTTCCTGAGATAAAGCCCCGCATTGGGCTC